ATGGGACATCTTCAGCTCAGAGCCTGCAGAATCCCCCACTCTGCTCCTGCTCTGAGTGGAACAGTAGGAGGTTTAAGAAAGGCTCTTTATTTTTTTCCTCATGTTTCAGTATTACATTTTGTGTCTGCTCCATCTCTCTGCAGCTGCCCAGCCAGGTTCCCTGTTTGTTTCTGTCTCTCAAAAATATCAGGAAAATTTCCCTCATAAAACCACAGGAGCAGCAGCTGGGTGGTTTCAGGCAGGTGAGGTTCTGAAATGCAAACCGATGGGGTTGCCCCTTTGAGGGCTTGTCTTCACAAGAAAGCAATCCTGGAATAAGAGTTTAAACACACGAGACCTATTCCAGAATAATTCTGTGTAGACAGGCCCTACATTTTTTTTCTTCCTTGTAGCCTCAGCAGAATATCTTTGTTCTTGAAAGAACATGGAGCCTGGACTCCTGGGCAGCCCCTCCGGTCATGCTGCGGAGCCGCTGCGTGCGTGGGGTGTCCACGGCAGCCGGGTGGTTGCTGTCTCCATTGCTCAAAATCCAGCCCTGAAGTTTGATGAGGAGAGGATGGATTGTCCCTCCGTGCTTGTTTCTCTGTGGCCACAAAGTCTCTGCTGCAGTGCACAAGGTCCTGGTTAGATTTGCTGGGCTGTCACAGCCTGATAACGCTTGACATCCCCAATTCTGGCTGCCTGGGAAGGGAGCGGGCGGAGGGGGGTTGCGTCCCTTCACATAGTAATGTTTTATGACTTTTATTATTTAGAACAACAATCCTCTCTCATTGCTCTTGGGCAGTAAACCTCTTTCTTTAATAACCAGAGACTGGCTGCCTCTCTGTAGGACTCTCGGGTCAGCGCCGGTAGCAGGGATGTTATTTCTCTTTAGCGCTAATGTGGTCTTTTATGAGATTTTTCTTCCCCCCCCTTTCATTTCAACTGAACTTTAGGCAAGCAGAAAGGGATTAAAATAAGGCCTGTGGCAAAAAGAACTGAATGTGCTGTTTGGAAAGAGGGTTTCCTGCTGTGAGATGTCTCTGGGCAGCTGGCCATTCCCACCATGTTAAAACAAAGGTGTAGGAACTGAGTCTGATCAGCTCACGTAAGCGGGGACGGGACCTGGGATACACAGGGAGTTATTACAGCAAGAGGCTGGATGGCCCCACAGGCAGCGTTTTGAAAAGCGATGGTGGAGAGATGGAGCTGAACAAAGTACCTCTGTCATCTTGGAAGTGGATGTACACAGTAAACAAAGGACGTTGCGGGTGAGTTTGCCTGTTAGGATGTTGGATGGCTACGGAAGGGCAGGAGTTCACAGGGACTCTGGTGCCTCTGTCACCGGGGATGCTGCTCTCTGCCCACGCTGGGTGGAAGCGGGCAGAGCTGAGGAGCATCCACCTCCTGCTTCCCAGGGACAGCGGGGTGTCCTTACACTCCTTTGGGGCCATCACGTTGTCGGGTCTCCTGATAGCCCTGTGCCTGCCTCCGTGGGGGGACCCTGGCTGCGGGTGGTGAATCTGGGAGCGGCGCTGGAGGGAACCCAGACGGGTCTCCCCACAGCTGGGGCACAACCGGCACGGCCATCCCGGTGCCTGATGCCCTGATTCAGGCTGAGTCCTGCCACCCCATTGTGTGCTTAATATTATATCCAGCACGTGGACTTGTTGGGGGGTTTTTAGCACTTGCCAGCCCTTGCCCAGTACGTTCTTTGCACGAAGCTCCCCAGGTCTGTTATGGTTTGATGCGGTACAGACAGAGATGTTCTCTCTGCAATGTGTGTGCAGTGTTCCCTGCCTGGACTGGGGGAACAGCGAGTGGTCCTTCCAGGGAGAAGAGTGCCCTTGCCCTCAGAGTCAGGGAAGCAGCTTATGGCCTTAGCAGAACCTTTTTCTTACTGTTAATACACAGAGAAGTCTGTGGAGCCGTGACAGGGACTTGCAAACATCTTCCAGCAAATGGGCTCCTGCCGCCAATGTCACGTTACTTACCAAAGGCCGTGACAAATGCCACCCTCCTCCAGAACGGGGCATTCAAGTGAAAGGAGTGTGTGTCCTTTGAAGACTGGGGGTGTGTACCCCCTCTTGCACTCTGTGGCACTTGCAGGTCCCTGGTCCGTGCTGGCTGACGCAAGTTAAGTGCTGTAGCATCAGGACCAGCTCTGGGGTGCTGGCGGGAGATGGAGCCAGTTGCCCTGGGAGGCTCTGCACCAGCAGCACTCATCCTGCTCTGCCAGGGCTGCCTCTGGCAGAAAGATCTCTCCTCCCTTCCGCTGAGATTTCAAATGAGAGTCTCTAATTAATGACATCTCCCCACTTAGCTCTCGATACACAGACAGATGCTGGGCCTTTTAGGGCTGGTTGGAGACCTGCAGCGCTGCCTCCGTACAGTGCAGCATCTGGTGGAAAATGTTTCTGTTACTGACCTGGGTTGGATCTGATCGGTCGTTCGGGGGTAAAAAACATCCTGGGAGCGGGTCCTGCCGAAGCAAGAACCTGAGAAATAACCTCCTGCCTAGGAAAAGTCCCGTTAATTTTAGGATTCCCAGAGGCATATGGCAGAGTGTGGAGGGATATAAATCCGCGTTCGCTGAATCTGGTGAGAACATAATATGTCCTGAGAAACTCCCATCATTGCACATCTGCACTCCCACTCGTGGCCTTGCAGCTGCAGTAGTTTTAAATGAAAAATAGACTTGTTTTGGTTTAATTTTAACAAAAATTCTCAGGCCAGCATGAGGCAGTCCAGCTCGGTGATGTGCACGTGTGCTGCTACAGTATGTAACTGCAGGTTTAGCTTATCAATATTTATATTTGTCCACAAAGAATGCAAATCTCAGCTTGCTTACTTACCGTTTCTGGTTTCATCTGTAAAATACGGAAATGAGATTTACCATAAATGCCTTGATTCTGGGCTTATCTGAGCTTGGTGAGCAGTCTGGATTGGCAATTCCTCAGCTGCTGGATATTAGTTCTGCACTCAGCATCCAGAGGTAACTCCATCTGGCTGCCCGTATTCCAGTTAATTTACAGTATTCAGAGGAAAGGGATATGGACCTTTTTCTGTGAAAATAGTGTAAAATTGCCACAAAGTACTGGGAAATAACTGTGCTCGGTTCCTAAAGATCAATTTGTTCACCACAGAGATATGGGGTGAGTGGGCAGTTTAGAGAATCGCTAATGGGCTGGAGAGCCTTTTGCTTTAAAGCCACCACTTCTGATCCAGCACAGGGCTCTGCTGACCCACAGCTTTTAACATCTGAGGGCTGGTGCTTGTCCCCAGAGAAAGGATTACAGTGTCAGAGTCTGTTGTTGTTCTGCAGATGCCTTAACAGGTACCACCACAGCTGGTCCTGGCTGTCGGCCTCAGAAGATGCAGAGGATGCAGGGAAGTGTCTGGAGACGGTGCTGTCTCTGAAGGTGTGGCCAGCGTGTCCCCAGGCTGGTGATCCCGCCGCGCTGCTGGGGAGGAGGGGTGGCCCACAGCTTTCAGAGCTGTCCTTTTAGTGAGCTCAGCTGGAGAACCCAGCTGTGGGCTGATCTGTTATCACCTGAGGTTCATCGATGGCCTGAACCTTAATGGCTCATCTCGAGAAGCACCTGTTTGTCTTCTGCTGCTCTTTATCTTCAGAGTCTCCTTTGGGTGTTTTCTAGGCTCAGCTTGGCGTGTGGCTCGCTGGAAGCTATGAATTTTGCATGCACTATTGACATGTCTCCGTGCTTTGGTCAGCTGTGTTCTAGAGAAGGACAGAACTCAGCACACACAGCTGAAGCAGTTGGAGGACATACTGGGAGCATTGTTGTTTCACTCCTAACAGACCACTCTGAGAATATCTCCAACTCCCCTTATTTCTCTCCTTCCGTGACTTTGAAGAAGGCATCCTACTCTCTCTCTTTGTAGACAGAAGGACACGTGGTCTTTTTGGAAGACCCTAAAGTGCTGCCAGAGGTTTTGAAGGTCAGAGTTCCCGGGATCAGAGCCTTTGTGAGCTGGCTGGAACATTTTACATAGTGCAGGCTATAGAGAAGGCAACTGCTCCCTTTGCTCTCAAGTTATTTATTCCCTCGCTGCTTTCTGGTTCTGCTGTGTTCCCTGGGAGTACCTAGCTAGCTTTTCTTTTTTTGCCCCCTTGAGCTCTCTGGTTTTGCTTTAAGAGTTACAGCACCATTGATTGTATTGGCTGTCTCAAAAATGGTGTGCTGCTCGCTGGCTGTGGGCTCCCTGCTGCTAAATGCTGCCAGTGGGACTCCGGAGCATTTAGACCGATCGATGGGGCTATCATGGCCTTGTTTTCCACACTGTCCCCATCCCAGGGATGTGTGTAACAGTCAGAGAGAGCACACGAGCCCTGGGGTTATTGGTTACAGAGTGGGGATCCACACACCATGGCACAGATGGTGTGTTTTGGGGGGGATGTGTGTGTTTTGAGGGGGAGAAGGGGACCTGTGCATGGGGAGTGTCTGCGCTGGCAGTGCCACCCGCTCCCCAGACACACTGTGTGCCTGAGCAGGGCAGGGCTGGGGTGTTAGAAGGAGGTGTCATTAATTCCTCCCCATTTGCAGGGAATTTTCTTCTGCTGGGAGGGACTGGGTGCTGCAAAACAGCACAAAATGAAGTGGGATGGGATGCCAGTGGGATCTCCTGCACGTGTGTAAACCCAGTCCTGTGCTGGCACTGGGGCCAGCCAGCCTCCCTCATCCTGCAGCCCACCTGGAAGGTCTCACACAGCAGGCGTGGTGGCCAGTTAATGACATGTTCAGCTGCAAACCTCTAATAACACGGTCCTGACTGCACTGGAGTTTGGAAAAAATGTTTTTATTGAACAGACAGCCTGTAATGGAACCTGCTCACCAAATTATAAATGGGACAATGCAGCATCTCTGCTATTCTGGGCCCTTGGTTATCTCATGGCAAAAACTTCCCCGGAATATTCTGCAGTTGTTGCTAACAGATGGACTAAATAATTTCCCTGGGAAGGAAAACATCCACTGATACCATTACATTCTTCCTTTAGATCCCATCTAATGCCGAGGCTGAAAGAATCGCGCTCCCACGAGTCTTTGCTCAGTCCCAGTAGTGCTGTTGAGGCTCTGGATCTCAGCATGGAGGAAGAAGTGGTCATCAAGCCGGTCCACAGCAGCATCCTGGGACAAGACTATTGCTTTGAGGTAAGAAGCCTCTCTGTCCATCCTGGGGACTATTCCTGCCAGCGACAGGACTGGCTGGGGAGCCAGGTGTGGGGTGACATCTGGGGCTTTCGCTGTTGTAAAACATTTCTGCTCTGAATGGCTACACAGAGACCATTTCATAAGCAGAAAATGACTTCTGTCTTTCCAAGGAGGATCATGCCCACAGCAGCAGAGCTCTTTGCCTTGTGACCGTTGTCGCAGCAGATCTTGCTGCTGGCACAGGTGCTCAACTACTTAAGGGCACGTATTAGCAGAGAATAAATGTGTAGTTTACGTTCTTATAGATATCAGAAAGGGCTAATCCCTACTCGGTGTTCACAGAGACATTATACATGGTCACAAAGACACCCTGCTGTTGTCAGTGGGAGTGTTGAGGACTTTGTCTAGAAAACTGAAGCTTCATTTCTTTGGGTAAATAGGAAAATCTGTGAGTATTTTGATTTTTTTTTTAACATCTGTTGTGGCATGTGATTAGGTCTGTACTAGCAGGAGGCGGTAGGACACGTACAATCCAGTCTGTAGCTGGATAATTCGATGTAGAATGTCTTGGGAATCATTTGTCCTGCACCGTGGATGGCAAAGTATTATTGCTTCTGGCAGTGGCTGGATATAGAACTGGGAAATGGTTTTCTTACAGTAATAAGGTGATCAATACTTGTGGTTCTATGAAGAGAAGGTGACCTGTTTGTGCTTGGACACAGAAGAGCAGATAGACTGCCTGTCCATGGTTGGGTCATACTGGAGGGCGGTGATGGGACTGCAGGCTTTTGGATGGGCAGTGCTGTCTGAAGATGGTTTGCAGTGTTCAAGAAGAGTGAGACTAGAGAGGTGAAGATTATTTTTTTTCTTTACTGAAATTAGCACACTTGGGAAGAAATGGGTTAAAAGATCCATTCCTGAAAATATAAGCAGGTAACACAAAACCAGTCTGAACAAAAAGCAGCCCCAAACATAAACTCTGAGGTATAAATTTTCCAGTGGTGTTCGTTCTCGGTAGAATTGAGCAAGTGCAGCAGGTCAGGAGGAGAACAGTTTTGTGAATTATATGGCCTCTATTACATTCCACTCAAGAAAGATAAAATGAAGCTAGATGGAAAATAGATGTGACATCCATAATATGAGTTGTTTACCATTTCTGTTCAGCGCCCAAGAGCAGAGGAAGGGATATGAACAGTACTTGTAGAAAGTTGACTGAGAGGGAAATTACACAAGTCATGCACTTGTGAGGAGGAAGAAGATTTTATTTTTAAGTGAGTTGGATAAAGAAGAGTCATAGAGAAAAAAAGAAGACGTTAATTGCTGTTCTGCAAATCCTGCAGAGGAAAGGAAGAATGCCAGAAAATAAAAGGGACGTTGATTTGGAACTGATGGTTACTCATCAGTGAGCTCCAGCGGGAAGCAGTGAGGTGAGAGCTAAACAGCGTGTGGCGTTACTGCATGGGTCTGGTGTCTCCAGAGAATCTTCCAAATTCAGAGTGAGGTCAGCACTGAGATGAGTTTGCAGATCTCCCAGGCGGGCAGTGACCACCACGCGCCGTGCGCTCGGGTCCAGCGGGCAGAGGGAAGGGGTCGGTGTTGGCTTCAGGCAGCACAGGGCGGGAGGGATGAGCCCAGGCTGTGCCTTGCGCCCAGGCAGAGGAGCAGCGTGTGCTGGGACGGGCTGGGGGCTGCTGCTGGCCCCTCCAGACCCCCACCTGCCTTGGCACAGCTTCATCACATGGTTCTCCACATCAGGCAACAGAGACAAAACCACACGTGCATCTTCTCCCCCTCTGTGCTTGAATGTTGCCTTCAGTTATTCCCGTGTCCTGAGGGTCCCGTCCGTGATCCCAAGTCCCTCAGTGCTGCTTGTCTTGGCTTGTCTGAAGGGACAGCCAAGACTTGGCAAAGGCTGTGGCCGCCTTGCAGTGGAAGCTCAGCAAAGAGCAGTCAAACCTGTGGTGGTTCCTGTGGCCTGGAACTGGGAAAGCTCTGATTGAAGTCTGCACGAGCCTGAAAGGAAAACTGAAGCTGATGGCCAGGAGCCAGGGCACTGCTGTGTGTGGGAACGCTGAAGAGTGAGAAGCTCAGCTGATGTCCTGGGAGAGGAGCCCTGACTAAGAATGTCAAGTGAGAAGTTACTGCCAGAGTCAGGAAGGTGAGGAGAACCCTCACGAGGAGGAGGTGTGTTCTGCACAGGGGACTGCGAAGGTGCTGCAGGTTGGTGATGGTGCCTCGTCCCTGCGCTTGGAGGCCATCGTGGATCTGCTCTCTGGGGAGGTCTGTCAGGAACGGCCAAGTTTGCTGTCTCCAGTGGAGAAGCAAAGCGTTGCTGCTGTTGGGCAGTGCCAGCCTCGCACAGTTCTGAGCTGCCTTCTCCTTGCGGTGGGGTGGTCGGCAGTGGACAGCTGCCTCCATTTCCAGCTGGCTGGTGTCTCTTTGTTCTCGTTTGAGATGTTGGTGCTCGGTTGGCCGGGCTGGCTCAGCGTCCTCTCTGGGGTCCCTCAGCAACAGCAGCGTGCAGCAGCTTTTCCAGAAGCTGGTTGTGGTCCAGGCTGGGACAGCTCCATGGCTCGGAGAACAAGACGGGAGGATCTGACATGGCTGCAGATGGAGTCGCGCTGAAGAGCGCAGGTTCAGAGAGAGAACTGGCAGTGCACCCGCATGGAGACAAAAGCGAGAGGTGCCAAAGCCATCTGCAGTGGAAAAAACCAAGCGGCTGGTTTGGAGGGAGCTGGCTGCACGAGGTACAATGCCATTGTCTCTCCTGTAGCTCTCCTGCCCTGCATGGGGACGTGCTGAAGCTGGCTGCGCGGCTCTGCTCCCGCTCAGCTGGGCTCTGCCGGGGCGAGCAGGCAGCAGCATTGCCGTGCTTTTTCTAATGCTGCATTTTTTCTGCTTCCTTAGTTCTATGAAATTCGCTTTTCCCTGACTTGCTGAGTACTTGGCAGTCGGTATTTACTTGTTTTCTTCATTGATTTTGTTTTTTTTTTAAAAGTTACTCAACATCATCTTCTTTCTTCTTCTAAGACTTCCCAGTCAGCATAATCATCCCGTGCCACTGCACGTGCTGCAGGCGCTAAATCTACATTGGACATCTCCAGTACAGGAGACTTGGGGTCCAGACTCCCAGCACCTGTTCCTGCCTCTGCTGGAATCCCTCCATGGGGTCCTGGTGACTTGGGCCAGACAGGGGAGGTGGGACAGAAGGGCTCTGGTACTGTCTTGGCAGACCATAGCCTTGTCCTGTTGCACAGGTCATGCCTGGGCTGTCGCAGGACACAGCTGGGGGAATGTGGAGCAGGAGAAAGAAGCAGCTTCTGCTGGGCTGGGCTTGCTCCACTACGACTGCAACCGTGTCACCTCGGGGTCCTGGTGACTTGGGCCAGACAGGGGAGGTGGGACAGAAGGGCTCTGGTACTGTCTTGGCAGACCATAGCCTTGTCCTGTTGCACAGGTCATGCCTGGGCTGTCGCAGGACACAGCTGGGGGAATGTGGAGCAGGAGAAAGAAGCAGCTTCTGCTGGGCTGGGCTTGCTCCACTACGACTGCAACCGTGTCACCTCCTCCCGGCCTTGCCTGAGCCAGGGAGAATTTAGCAGAGCTAAATTTAGCAGAGTTAAATTTAATCCAGCTGTGCAAATGTTCGCTGTTGCTTGCGTGGCCCTTGGACGCCCCGAGCAGCCGTTGCCGCGCCGGTCTGTCCTTCTGCACTCGGGTGGGGTGGCATTGACCAGCCTGAGCCCCAACTTCTCCTCATCAAATCCTTCAAACACTCCGAGTGAAGCAGCTCGGTGACTCGGTTGTCATCCTCCCTTGTTACACTGGTGAGATTCCTTGAAGCGTGCTTTGAGGAACCCGTGCTGTGCCTGAGACATTCTTAAAATGACAAGATTTTATCTGACTTGAGAGATCACCCATCCAAGGACTGTGGGTAATGAATATGAATAAATAAAGTTTTAGAAATTAATGAGTTTTATTAATTGGGTTTATTCTGTACATTAATAGTATGCTAGCGTATCCAAAATCTTGATGAGACCAGAATATTCTCTTTATCAAGATAATTAATATCTCATGAAGATCATTAATGCCATATGATGTTTAGATCATAGCTCAATGCTGGAATGTTATTGCAGATCTGGGGAAAATTAACATTTTTGGTCACACATGGTAGATACAACCTTCAAGTCCCATCAGATCAAGAGGGCTTCGTGTCTGACACAGAAAGATTTTCCCCTTCTCTCCCTCAAGTCTGACAGTCTGAGTTTTTTAGGTTTTGAGTGATTACTTAATCGGTAATTGATTTGGAATTGAATCATAAATTTTACCATGATAACTGAATTATAATATGTTGACTGAAGTGTGGCAAGAAAATATATTAGATATTCACCCTAACAGATAGCTGGTAAAAAAAAATGACATTTAATTAACAGATTCAGTAGAAGGACAGCTAAATTGCATGCTTATTTATTTGGATACGAATCCTCTAGTCAGCTGTGGGATCCATGTGTGTCATCAAGGAGAACTTGTCTTTAAGAGAGCATCTTTCAAGAGCAATCAAAGAAGTCATAATTCTCTTTTATGGAAGAGCTTCCAAGTCTCCTAACAAATTCTCTGTATCTGAGAACATCGTTTTCAAATGCGTTTGTACAGCAAACTCCCATCAAACCAAAGAGCTAAACAGAGAGCTAGGTGAGGAACGGGCTTTGAGGAGATGGACTGACAGGACATGCCTGACACACCTCTCCTGAAAGGTGTGTTTGATCTCTTCCACCTTCAGTAACTGATTTCTAAGTGGTCAGTGGGGCTGAGTTCCGTGGCCCTCGATCAGATTGTCAGTGGGAGGGTTCCCCCCAGGGGCTCCAGCACCCGCGCAGCAGTGTGGCTGTACCAGTAGTGGTGGGACTTGAATGTTTTGGACTTGGACGTGGATGATTTTGAATTTTTTTGCAGCTGAATTAGGCCAAATCAGACAGGGCTCAAGTTCTGAATTGTCAGGTTCTTCCCTGAAGAACAGTTTTGAAGCCTTAGAAATTCACATCAATGGAGCAACTGGGGAGCTGGCTGCACCAGTGCTGTTTGCTGTCCATCTTCCCTGTTACTTCACTCCAAGTTCTGTTCTTCAAAACTGTTGCCGAGTGGTACTTCTGGGATCTTTGTGTTTGTAACTCAGTGGTAAGATGGTGCAGCAGCACGTCAGCAGTAACGCAGCCCTGTGCTGCTTCTCTTTGGGGGCTGTTACCAGTCAGGTGGACGGCTGTGCTCGCCTTCAGTGCTGTTGCAGGAACTCTGAGCAGAGGATTGAGATGCAGAACTGCCATACCTCCTGGCAGAGCAAGGTGTAGAGATCACACGCTGTGGACACAGTCTTGCAAGAGCCACCAGAAGTCCGTTTGTGAAGGTTCAGGGATTGGAGGTTCACATGAGCATCTGCAGCAGCAAAGAGGAGATGAAGCAGGCTGGATTTGTCATGGGAAACTTTGAAGAAGCTGGAAATACACTGAAGCCTGAAAGGATGCTGAAAAAACCATTCTACTGGAGTCTTCTTTCCTTGGAAATGGAAGATGACTTGTGCTCAGAAGAATGTGTAGTTTTACAGGAGAGAGGATGGAAGTGTGTAAGGCCGGGGAAGTGGGTCTGCGTGATGCAGAGAGCTTCTGGGATGTCAAGGGTTGGAAGATTCCTTGCATTTGCTGCGTAAAGACAGGAAAAGCCTCTTGTCATCCTGTCCTGGTTAGAAGCTGCCTGTGCTCAAAGGAAGGGATGTGTTCAGCCCGTCGTGGAGGTTGGCTAATGACAAATCTTAGCAAGTGCCAGCTCTGCTGTAAGAACAGGTTTGGCTTCTGAGAGATACATGAAATTAAAGGAGATTGTGTCTTCCAGAAGCAGATAACCCAGCAAACAGTTTGTAAACACAAACGCTGCGCGATGATAAAGCTCTCGCAAAGAATTCTGCAGCTGGAGACTGGTGGAAGTGAAGCTCAGAGGGGAGTGATTTAAAGCTCTAGCCAGGTCCCTTTGGCCTGTACGTAAAGAATGTGACTGGACAGCACCAAATGCAGCAGATGCCAAGAAGGGCAGAGCAGCTGGTGAGGGTTTCATGGGCAGAGTTCTGGTTCCACGGTCGTGGTCTGTCAGCTTGCCCAGGCAGGCCTGGAGGAGACATTGGCTTGAGGGATACGTGAATGTGAGAAGATGCAGAGGACTATTGGCCTTGTGGACCTTGGCACAGTAACTGATGCCAAAGGAGGTTGGTGTGGTAGATAGGAAGAAGTGTTTGGTACCTCTTGTCCTTGGGGCTGCCAGGCAATGGCTGCTTTGGTGGTCCCTCAACAGGGTTGAGTTTCCATGTGGTCATAGGGGTGTGATAAGGAATAGAGGGCATCTGCACCACTGGAAGTGTCCCTGCTGTTGAGTGTGCTTCTTCAAAACCTGGCTATGAAGTCCCAATGGCCAGAGAAAGTCAGACAAACACTGCAGAAAGATCCCTTGGAGTGATACTGGAAGTGTGAGAGGTGAGAGGAGGGCTCAGCAGGACTGTCACTGGCCATCTCCAGGTCTGGGAGCCCCAGCCTGGTTGTCCCCAGCTGGGGAGCAGGTGCTGTGAGCGCCGGAGTACCTCCAGCCAGGCTGTCAGCTACTGCTCTTCCTGCTGCCAGGACTGGGGGGTGTATACTTGGCCCCATGTTCTTCAGGGCATGGTCTTCAGAAGCAGTGGGAGATGAACGGGGAAGGTGTGAAGCCAGCCTGATGTTCTGCTCAGTACAAGGAATGGGTTGTTGCTGTCGCAGGCTTTGGGTTGAATCTGGAGGAATGCCAAGTGGTTGCAGTTTATCTTTAGTTCATCTGAGGTTGTGGAACTTGATGGTTTAAAGTGTCACATGCATGGGGCCCATTATCTAGTGTTTTCTGGTGTGGAAGAGGAGAAGTAATTGGAATTTGCTTCCATGATTATTTCTGTGACATACAGAGTTGCCCTGTTTTTCTGCTTGCCTTAGGGGCTCTTGCTTCATGCTTGGGTAAAGCTGTTTACTTTAAAAAATAAAATAAAACAAAAGACCCACCAGCATCTTCCCTCACTCCCCCTCTCCCCCCGAATCCCAGGCTGCAGTGTGCTGGTCAAGACATAATCCTGTTCCTCTCCCTGTAGGTGACGACTTCATCAGGAAGTAAGTGCTTCTCGTGTCGTTCTGCAGCAGAGCGAGATAAATGGATGGAAAACCTGCGGCGTGCCGTGCACCCAAATAAGGTAGTGGCTTTGAGGAATTGCCTCTGTTCGAGTTCAGTTCCTCCTTAATCCATTTTCTAGCCCAGTGCAGAGCAGCAGCAGGGGACGTATTGTCATTTTAGTGAGTAAGTGTAACCGTGGGTCAACCCTTCTCCACGTTGCTTTCTTCCACAATTATATTTACAGGCAAGTGCCAATTATTCCTTCCCCTCTTTTCTCGGCACATGCTGCTTCAGCTGTTGCTAAGAATTGATCAGACCTGAAGAATCTTCAGTCTTGCTCTGTTACTGATGGTGCTTGCCACTTACATAGGACTTTCCACCTCTCAGAAGCTCTGGGACAGATGTCAGGTTGCTGCCAGCAAAGTTACAAGACCAAAGGGTCTGAAGAGTTGAGGTGTCACACTTCCTGACTCTGGTAGCGCTCGCTGTGCGCTTTGGCGACGGAGAAACTCAAATGCCAATCGCAGTGAGTTCTCTGAGGTGATAGTGGAACGTAGCTTTCCCTTCTCCAGTCAGTGGAGGAGGCAAAGTCATCCCCTCTGGGATCTCCAGAAACAAATCCTCTTCACGAGAGCACAGGGACACCCAATAAGCAGTTTTATGACCCACCAAGACTAAGTACATCCTAAAATAAAATCTACAGCTGCTTCTCTCCGCGCTGGAGTTAGCTAACAAAGATTGATCAGGACTAATCAGCTGCAGCATTTCACAGCTGATGAGCTCCATCAACAAGACTTTTTCTGCTGATCAGAGACAAATGGTGGGATCCTGTGAATTCATTCCTGCCGTCAGAGCCACATAGCTGCATACGAGTTAGGTCCAGGCCTGGCGGGTTGCTAAAGGAGCTCTCTGTGTCCCAGTTGATTGTTCCCAGAGCAGTGCCAAATGTCAGTATGAAAGATTTCCTTCAGTCTCAGAGTGGGAGCTGTGGAGGAGAGGTGGACTTCTGCCTCTAGTAGCGAGTTCCTCTACATGGAGTTCAGTGACTGCAGTGCTTTCCGAGCGCAGCAGCCTGGTAGTAACAATCTGAAGGAGCTGTGTAAGGTTTGAGTGGTCACACTCATCCTGAGAAAAGTCCTGGGCATGTGAGCTGGGGCTGGGCGTGTCACTATGGCTTTGAGATGCAGTGTTCAGTAGAAATTCATTTGGAAGCGTGCCCTCATCTCAAAACATGCCATTAACTGATGGCAAACTTTCCATCTTGGTTTGAATTCGTAGACAATAAACTCTCAGTATCTGACTTGATATTTCTGTCAGGAATTCAGTGTTCTTGTGTAGTTCCTGCTTGTCCTTCCTGAACCTCCAGTACCCCATTGTGGACTTACAGCACCCCATTGTGGACTTCCAGCAGGACTGTTCCTGCCCAGACTTCTAGGCTGAGCCGAGTAAGCTGTGGTTGCTGTTTCAGTGAGGGGTTTCCAAACAGAACAGGTTACTGCAGAATCCCCAGCAGTGGTTCAGCTGCAAGTGCTTTATCTTTCAAGTCACTCCTGCAACAGATGCCCCTGGACATTCTTCCAGGATGAGGTCAGCATCGCTGGAGAGCTCTTGAAGATCCACAGTATCCTTTGCTTTGTTATTGTTTAAAAGCTATCCAAGCCAAATTCCTATTTCTGAATTGCAACGATTCCCCCGTGGAACTCGCCCTGTCTCCCCAAATTCCTCTCCATGTTTTAGTTGGGTGCTCTGGACTTCTGCCCTAAAATACCACGAGGTTTTGTAAATGCTTCTTTCCCTGCCAGAGGTGGTTGCATTGCAGCCATGGATGAGGTGATCCCTGGGTGGGTGTTCACATCCCTTTATTGTTGCTCTGTTGCAGTAAAGAAAATGTACTCCAGTGGTGCTGTAAAGCAGCTGGACTAAGAAGGGTGGTGGTGAGGAGATACCTGCAACGTAGCTTCTGTTTTGCAAAAGCCATTAATGATCAGTGAGGTTCTTCTGAGGCCCTCTTGGCAGTGAATGGGAAATGGCACATTTATGATTTGGAGGGGTTTTATCTGCCTTGTTCCTTACATTAATTGTCACCAACAGGCATGGAGAGCATGGAGATATTTGGAAAATTAACATAAATAGTGTTATTATGCAAATTCCTGAGAGCCAGTATTTCCTTAAAATAAAATGTAATTAAGCCTCTGCTCATTTAGCACATCCAAAATAATTAACTCATATCTCCAGTTTTGTTGTGCTTGGCTTCGTGGGTTTTTTATTGACCTTTTTTTCTTTGTATCCTTTTTTTTCAGGACAACAGCAGAAGGGTAGAGAATATGTTAAAGTTATGGATTATTGAAGCCAAGGACCTGCCAGCTAAGAAGAAGTACTTGTGTGAATTATGCCTGGATGACGTTCTTTATGCACGAACTACCTGTAAATTGAAAACTGATAATGTATTTTGGGGGGAGCACTTTGAATTTAATAACCTCCCGTCGCTCAAGAACATTACGGTGCACTTATACAAAGAGACTGACAAGAAGAAAAAGAAGGACAAGACCAATTTCATTGGGCAAGTGAACATCCCCGTCAGCTCCGTCACGGGCCGGCAGTTTGTAGAGAAATGGTACCCGGTGGTCAGCCCCAACCCGGGCAAGGGCAAGTCCCCGGGGCCCATGATCCGCATCAAGTCGCGCTACCAGAGCATGAGCATTCTTCCCATGGAGATGTACAAAGAGTTCGCCGAGTACATCACTAACAATTACATGGTGCTGTGCTCGGTGCTGGAGCCCTCGCTGAGCGTGAAGAACAAAGAGGAGATGGCGTCCGCGCTGGTGCACATCCTGCAGAGTACAGGCAAGGCCAAGGTAAGACCCTTCGTCATCCATCCCTTCCCATCCCATCCCACCAGACACCATCAGGAGCAGACTCCTGCCTTGGGTTTTGGAATTCACCACGTTAGCTGGGCCGTCATTAAGACGCTCTAATTTTGCTTTTAATTACAAACAAGTTGGTAGCTTGTGCAGTGTGAGTTGCTTAATTAGCAAAGAGGTCGGTGGAACCTCGAGATAGCAGCTGAGTCATTTTTCTCTCCTTCGGGAGGCTCAGGGGCCAGACTCTTACTTCATAAACAGGCACAAATGTGAAAGTAAAGCAAGGAGGCAGTTTCAGGGGTAGAATGTACACGACACTGGCTTCAGCCAAGGAGCCTGTGAGTGCTGGATGTTCTGGGGGAGCCCAGCACGTTCCCTGTCCACCCCCTCCCCATTGCCATGCTGCTGTGCTGGGCGACCAGCACCGCGGGAGCTGGGCGGGAGGGAACAGCCTCTGGAGAACTTCAGAGCAAAGGCCACCTGCAGGCACATGTGTCTCTGAATCTGCTCTTGGTCTTCGGGGTCCGTCCTGATGATTTTGGAAGGGAGGTGTGAGGGGGGAGCAGCAGTGCAGGAAAGCCCAGGGGTCCTGCGGTGCTCCCAGGGCAGTGCTGGTTGGGAGTTGACGCCGGTCAACTTGCAGGTGGTGGAAGTTCAGTGTTTGTGGACCAGTTTGTCTGAACATCCTGAACTCTGCAGGGGGGAGCTGGGGAAGAGCAGGATTTCCAAAGCTTTTGCGAGGCTCTGCTGCCTGGGACCGTGACAGTGTTCGTGGGTGAGATTTAGTCACCATCTGTTGAACAGAGAAGTGACTTGGCCTCCTGATCTAGTTCAAGGCGAAGCTCACCGAGGGGATGGCGGGGCTGTGGACCTGCTGTTGCAGAGGCAGAGAAAACAGCTCAGCTAAAGCCTCTCAGATCCCAGGCAGCAGTGCCAGCCCCCAGGAGCGCAGGGCGGGGTGGCAGTCCCAGTCCCTCAGCGGGGACAGAGGTGCCTTGTGATTCATGGCATGTGAAATAACACTGTAGAGCATCATCAGTGTCCCCCTCCTCACTCCTCGTGCTGGGGCTTCAGCAGCCCCTGGTCTCTGGGCACTGCCATGAAAGACCCTGTCCGTGGCTTCCATGGGTCTGGTGCAAAGGGCTTTGGGTGTCACCTTGATCTCAGTCACTATGGACCGTGTGTGGGCATAGCTGAGAGCCATTGTCACTGCTCCTGCCTTTTCCCTCTTCTCCTTGGTACTGGAGAGGCTCCAGAGAGAGCAAGTGTGTTTCTAGACACGTGTCTGCATCAGTGCTCCAGATCCCAGAGGCTCTACACGAGGGACACAGTAAACAGTAAACAGGTTTGATGAATTTCTCCCTAAAATGGAGCTTCTGCTTTCCCTGCCTGTCATCTGCCATCAGCATTAGCACAGGGTTTAGGAAGCTGTCAGAGGAGCAGGAGTTATTGGAGCATGGGAATAGGGTGGTGCATCCTTTGTAGAGGAGCTGGACAATCAGAGAGAGGGGAAAGCAGCAGTAAGGGGAAAAAAAAAAGAGTGGGAACAGAAGACACCCTGTGAGCCCCACTTGTGTGACATGGGTGCTCCCTGCCACCACTCGGCAAAGCTGCCCTGTGGCTGAGCACCGTGACCTGGCGAGGGGACATGGCCACAGCAGACCCACACGCTGGTGCCCAGTTGGCACAGGGAAGCTGTGCTGGAGTTGCTGTCCCTGCCCTCCACAGGGCAGCCCCTCTCTGCCTGCTCCGGGGAGAAGAACTGGACAGGATGAGTCCAAGTGCTTGAGAAGGTCTGATGGCCAAGCTGCCGGCTCCTGCTCTCCCTGAACATCTCCTGGCTGGCCCCTCGGCACAGCTCTGAGCATCTCCCTGGAGTTTCCACACAGAAACAAGAGTCTCTTCCTTTTTCTTCCCAGCCAGTCTGCAGGAGAACCAGTTTGTTCCATTTTTCTTTCGTTGGAAGGTAACGTGGCTCTGTGTGAGTTGGTGTGTGCTGGGGGAGGCGCGTGGGCTCTGTCTGCTTTTGGTGCCGAGGACACGGTTCCTTCAGCCCAGACTTGCCCAGCACCAAACACCTGCTCGTTCAGAGGTGACTCTGAGCAGACAGGTCAAACACCCGTGTCCCAAAGTAGGGCACAGTGGGGTTTGAAATGGGGTTCAGAGCCCAGGGAGCAGGAGAACAGATCCCCGTGTGCCAGGAGCCCCGCAGGATGGTGCTGGGGAGCTGGTGTGCTGCTGGATGAGCCTCGAGGCTGCAGAAGGTGGATCCAGGTCCCAGGGCGAGGACCTTGTCCCAGTCCAGCAGCAGTGAGCACCTTCCTCCCCAGCACCGGTGTGCAGGAGGCAGTGGGACAGTGACCCCCTCCTCCAGCCTCTGTCCCCCTGTGACCCTCTGAAGCTGCCTGGGGTTGGAAGTGGGTTCCCCGTCCTCGTGTCTTGCCAAGAGCCTTTCCAGTGACCTCTCCAGCGCTCTCCCCTGCCCTGCAGAGTGCAGAGCTGGCAATCAGCAGCCACTAATTTATTTTGCTGATAAAGGGGGTTTTGTGGATCTTGGCTGCTGGAGCTGCCGCTAAAGGAGCAATTACAGTTGGAGTGAGAAACAAGTGTCCGGTAGATTATCTATGAAGACTCGTTAGCGGCTAATTGCTCTTGTGCTGTTTCAGGCCCTGTTTTCCTGTAGTGATTTGCTGTAAATATGGTGTAATCCCTTAATGAGGCACCGACCGATGGGGTGCGTGGGGCCAGGCAGAGCCAGGCTGCAGGAGTCCCTGTGCAGGACAGGGGGGACGTGGTGCTGCATGGATGGTGCCATGTGCCACCCACAGCCAGGTCCCCGGCCACCAACATCCCTGTGCAGCCCCAAATGGCAGAGGGGTGATCCTGACCCACCGACACCCCGCTTTGCTCCCCCCTGGCAGCCAGGTGTCATTCTCTGAAGCTCCCAAAACCCAGAGGAGCTGCCTGGGTCCCTCCTGCCAGAGGCAGAGCCCGTAGAGCTGCGGGCAGAAGGGAGACAAGGGCTGGAGCTGAATTTTCTATCTGCTTCTTCCTGGGCTTCATGGCTGAATCACAATAGATTACAAGGTGGAGAATAAAACTGAGAGGCCTCTCTGGATTCAAAGTCTGTGCTTCCTTTGATCTGTTTGGGAAAGGGAAGAGCTTCATCCCTGCAGTGCTGTGCCAGAGTTTGGTGCACATCGGGACACGCCTGGAAACCCCGGACCGGCCACCAAGGTGGAGAGGAGGGGAAAAGGCATTTGGATAAAGTGAGAAGTGCAAGTAGCCTGGCTGAGGGAGCTGCCCCAGCCCACGGGAAGGTCTGACACAGCCAGAGCTAAACCAGCTCTCAGGGCAAGCAGCTGGTCACTGTCTCTGTTTAGGGCAAGTAGGGGTCGGCAGAGGCATCGCTGTGCCAGGAGAGGGAGGTGGTTTTGTGACTGAACACAGAGATGGGGGCTCTCAGCATCTGTCCTTGACTGGTTCTGTGCTTCATCTTCCCAGGGAGAGCACTGGTAAAATGTTACCTGTAAGGATGTGGAGAGATACTTGGCTGTTTTCAGGTGTTTTGCAACCCATAGACACAAAGTCATAATTAATTAAAGTATCTCTGTTGCCGTCCTTGGTGTCACCGGGCGTGCTCTCCCCTGCCGTGATCACGTGCCGTGGCCTCTGGGATGTGGTGATGGATGGGCAGGCTGTGTCCTTCCCAAAACGAGACCGACTCTGACTGTCAGTGCTTCCAGAATATTTCCCACGCTTAGATGAGTTTCAGGGCTGTCTTACAGCAGTTGGAGCTCAGTTCATGGCCATAAATATATAAAAAACCCCTCTCTTGTCCAAATGGTTGATAGATCAAACCCAGCATTAGACAGAGCTCTAACTAACCAGCTGCTCACTTGAAATAAATATTTATCATGTTGTGAATAGAGCAAAGAATAAACATGTGTCCCTGTTTGTTTATGCTGTGAGGATTTGCTTTGGTGAAGCAGATGTATTTGCTCCCCCCGTGCGAGTCTGCTGGACACTCCCCACGTTCCCTCCTCGGCAGCGCGGGGCGATCGCCCAGAACCCCCCTGGCAGCACCAGTTTGGGTGCAGGACCTGCAGATGCCGCTCAGGGCTGCCTAAGGGTGACTGCTCCTCTCGGGGAGGGGACTGGGAAATGAGCTGCTGGGCTTGGAGGCTGGTGGCAGCAGGGCTTGGTCGGTCCCTGGGGGGAGCACCACTCCCTTCTCTGCAGCCTCCAGCCCTCGGTGAGACCGGCAGCAGCCGTGTCCTTCCCTCCACAAAGTTTCTCTTTCTGA